AGTGGCTATCTCTAACTGATCCAGCCAGAGGGCCATAGGGCCAAAAATATCCCTAAATGACACGAAAACCGTCTCAAACCGAAGGTTAGGCCAAAGAGTTCGTGGGCCCCAGTGGACCACAAAAGGAAAATCAAGCCAACCAGTTGGCCCAACCCAGATAGCCCCGGCCGGTCCAGCAATTTAAATCCCAACGACTACTTGTTGACGTCAGCTAGCCGTTATATTTGAATATATATATATATATATGTTTTTTTAATTCTTTTTTTTTCCTATAACTATCTAAGCCATTAAACAACATTAAATAATATTAAGTAACATTAAACAACATAAAACTTAAACAACATTAAAAAAAAACATTTAACAACATGAAACTTAAATAACATTAAAAAAAACATTTAACAACATAAAACTTAAATGTCTACTCCATGCTTTTTTTGGCCCAAAGATGTGCAACAAGATCTTGTTGTAGGTACTTGTTTGTGGCATGCGAATGTATCATCCTATGATGCCTCATGTACTTATTTAAATAGATATTACTAGTTCTTGGATTCAAAGGCAAATTAGGCCCATCATATATCTTTGTACAAGTCCTTTTTTACATATTTGGAGTTCAAATTTTCATCAATATAATCATCTCGCTCATCATCCACAATCATGTTATGTAATATGATGCACGACATCATGATGGAGTTCAAATTTTCTCAACTCCACCATCTTGCCGGTTCCTTAATGATCTTCCATCGTGCTTGTAGAATACTGAAATCTCTCTCAACATCTTTCCAGTATGCCTCTTGGTGTAAGGTAAAACACATTTCGGCGTCATCTGCATGACATCTTTCCAGTATGCCTGTTGGTGTAAGGTAAAACACCTTTCAACGTCATACGCAGGGTTTGCAATTGCTTGGACAAATGTTGCCCACTTTGGGTAGATGCCATTTGCCAAGTAATACCCCATGTTGTTGTCACGCCCCAATCCCGACATACGTTCAGAATTGACACGTGACGTCACCAAAAATCCGTATCTATCATATCCCACCTTCGGGATATGGGTAAGCACAACTCAATAATCGAATCGCATATTTATTTTTTGTATGCATTATGGCTGCATCTAACCTCCCTGTTAGACTGCCCACGTACCCTAGACAGGGATCAAGCCATTCGTAGTTCGTCAAGCACAATAATTGACATATAACACAGTCCGATTAAGTCGAAAGGCATAACGTTTCTCAATCAATCAATAGAACTCGACAAGCATGAAATTACTTGGCTCAGGGTTACATAACAAACCCACCTAAAATCATGATTTCCCTTCCAACTATATATAAATCATTATGTCGCAACATGATACCGTAATTCACAACATAAATCACTTCAAAGAACCAATGAAGCACAATACCATTCTCTAGCCACATTTATCAACAAGTCTAATCATAACAATAACCATGATATCCAACATAACAATCCCACATGACGATTATCATTTCCACTTCATCCATCACGTAACTCATCACGTTTTCCACATAAAATCGCATTTCATAGTGTGTAACATAGTTAAGAATTTACAAAGTACACATTATTCTCTAGAAATATTAATCAACTAAAATACTCATGATAACCACACTCATATCCAACGTTATTCCATAATCACATCAATCAATAATGTCAACTCTCATATCATCAATAACACATACAACAAGTCGAAATGCAAGACTAGAGCAACACAATTCAGTTGAAGACTACATCTTTGGAAAATGGGGATTTTGGACCACCCAACGGACCAAGGCTCCAAAGGGGATTCCGGACCATCACTCAACGAAATCCAAACAGAATTCAGTTCCAGACCACCCAACCGAATTGAACGGAAGTCCAAGAAGCATAACAACGGCTCGAAGGAGCAAAACATAATTCAAGTTACCCAATTCACGAAACTCAACGAAATGAAGCAATATTGAGCACAAATCCACATCACAATGGGTTATCGATCATTTACTAGACCTTACATCTCCCAAGCAATTCAATATGCATTTCAATCACATGTCACAACCATTTCCAATACACAAGTCAATCATATTTCACGTCATCATACCAATCACTATACTTCCAACATTATATCTCAATACATAGCTTGTAACATATCAAGGAATCACAAAGCACAATGTTAATATTTAATTATGTTAATCAATCAGTGAGATAACATATCATTTCACGAATTTAATTAATGAACTCTACATAATTCCCAACTTGGGTTATGAATAATAACATGGCGATTCTAATTTATTTTCACAATATCTATTGTGGGTAATTCCCATCTACTCGAATTTAGGATTCTAAGATCACCTTACGGAATGAACAAGAGCAAGGATTCCAGACCACTCAACGGAATCCATCGACATTGGGTTTCGGACCACTCAACGGAACCAAAATACCAATCGGTTTCTCATAATCTACCCAGACCTGTCATATGTAAAGTCAATGCCAATATTATGGAATTGGTGCACTGGCAAATCAGGCACTCAGATAAGCTGAGAGGCTCGGGTGAGGGACAATAAAATAAGCATGTGATACATTAATAAAATCAGCCATCAACCATAATTTATAAACCTTAAATATAAATATTTCATAAGAAATCAATACCAAACTTTTGAAAACTCTGAGGGAGTCCCCAGACATCCAAAAGTTCATTTCAAACTACCATAACATCTCACACCCATATTCACATACACACAATGAAAGTAGAAGTAGGGCGACACAATTCCTCCAAAGCCTACACCTTTGCAACTATCTCAAACTAAACTCAATGAACTAAGGTGGATACAATCCCGGACCATCACTCAACGGGATCACGGAGTAAGAGGGATCCCGGACCATCACTCAATGGAACCCAAACCAAGATACGATTCTTGACCATCACTCAACGAAATCGCGGAATGGAGTAGCAAGGATTCCGGACTATCACTCAACAGAATCCAAACCAGGATACGATTCCAGACCATCACTCAACGGAATTGCAGAGTCCATTGCATAACCACCAATCAATGAAACAACACATGAATCAAGTTACTCCAGTTATAAAAGCTCAACGAAACAAGATATGAAATAATGAGACGAGCATTGACACATGTTTCAAAACAACAAACCCCATGACAATGGGTTAACGGTCCACCACTAGCCCTCACCTCATCAAATCAAACCAATCATACAAAACAAACCATATTTCCAATATGCACGTCAAATCCCACTTCATATAACTATATCATCGGCTAAATATGAAAATTAACAATTTATAGGAAAAATGATTATAAAACCATTTCATATTCACATATATTAAGTCGCTCACATTTCATCATATCATACCATTTATGTAAATCAACCACCTTTCGAATATGCACGTCAATTCACATATCACGATCATCATCAGTACACAAGCCAAATCATGTTTGATAAACATAGGTCTATGGCTAAATATATATAAATATATATATAATCACATTTCAATAAAATCACATTATAAGACCAAGTAAAATTTCACAGATGATATCAATACAAGAAATCAAGATAATAACCATATCACATATGTTCAAGTCACTCTCTAACCAATGTAGGCCCACTAGACTTCACTTAAGTCTCCCATAGTACTAATTTTATTATTTAGAACGTTCCGAGACATGTTGACCATAATTCAACTCTCGGTCAACAAGGGGGTCCACAACAATCCGCAATTCAGATTTATGATCCATAACTTCCCAAAGTCCACATTATGCTTCGAGAATAACATACTAAGGTTCCATTATACTCCAATGGTCGGATTGTCGTTAGTCACACAAACAAGTGGCGGTCCAAATTGATCACCACACCAAACAATTGAATTTTTGGAAACCAAGCTAGACATAGGTTCACTTGGTCACTAGAAGGTATATGAAACCTAGACAACACTCGTGAACGATCCCACGCACTGCCACACGCGGTGGAAGTCAAGATGGAGGGTTTACAAACCTCGAAATTTCAACATTAACTAGATGAGCTAAAATTTACGTGGTAGCTAGAGCTCAACAAGGGAAACACTTTTCACAACTAGGCCGACGATAAATTCTAACCGGAAACCGTTCAATTTCATCGGAGAAAACCGGATTTCTAAGGTTCTAAACACCCAACTCTAAAATGAATACAAAAGCACAAACTAAGCATACCCACTTGAAGATTATGAAGAGTAAATGAAGTTTCATACCTCACTCGAAGGAAATCATTGCCGAAATCGCTAAAAAAATGATAAAACCGCCGGAAAAGCCGTGGACTTTGCGGCCTCGAACTGCAAAGATGGAAAAGAAATGGGAAAATCTAACATCACAGAGATGTAGGGCTCGTCAAGAGCTTTCCATGGACACCAAGATCATCCAAAACAGAGCTCGGATGAAAAAGATACAAGCAGGTCAAGTTTGGTGGGTTTATGGATCAAATTCCCTCTAAAACGGGTTAGGCAGCACCCCTTTCTTCCATTTTCTGAAAACTCTCCCATTTATAGCATTTTCGTAATATTACCAAAATGCCATCAACTTTAAACGACTCAACTTTTCCGTTCGGACTCGGAAATAAGATCTGTTTACGCCTACTCGCTCATGGAATCGAACTCTACCTAACCAATTCAAGAGTTGACCGAAAAGGTCGAGAAATTGGAAATGACTAAAGTACCCCTCACTTCGTTTTCTTAAATTTGGAGAAATAAAGAACTAGTTCCAATCAAATCTTCGAAATACGTTAAGAATAAAATAAAATAATAATTTTAGGGACAGGATATCACAGTTGTACTGACGCCCGTTGACATAGTAGTCAAGTTGAGATGATTTACCCTCTATCAGGTTATTGAAGAGGGGTGAACGACCAAGAACTATAATATCATTTTGGGATCCTAGGACTCCAAAGAAACCATGTCAGATCCATGTGTCAAATGATGCAACCGCCTTTAACATAGTCGTTGGCTTTTTCGATCTTTCGCTAAAGCCTCTTTACCATCCGGTGGGACAATTCTTCCACTGACAATGCATGCAATCTAATAACCCTTTCATGCCCGAAAAACCACGGAGGTACTCCTCTTTGTAAAGCTGAACAACTGTGTCACATAATCCAACAAGATTATCAAGGCTTGTAGACTCAAACATACCATATATATCATTTATCGCATCAGCTAGGGAGGCATAGGCCAACATTCGAAGTGCAATAGTAACCTTCTGATGAGGTGAAAAACCAGGGTGGGCTGCTCTATCCAGTTTATATTGAAAGTCTGGATTTACATGTTGGACATCATGAAGTAAACGCTCGACAACATGATGCCTCATCCCAAACCGAGGTCTGAAATCCTTTTCGTTGTATATCGGGTTGGGGTTGAAGTAGTTGTTCATTAAATTTTGATGTGTCATCTTTCTATTTCGTGGCTTGTAATCGCGACCAGCAATAGAGCCACCTCATTGAGGTTGTTTTTCAGTTGCCTCACACGCATGACCCTAGCCATTACTACCATATATGATGTATTGCACCATGCTTCATTTTCTTCATCGGACTCTTCATCTTTTCATCTCATCTACTCCTATTTATCTTCCAATTTGGAATTGGATAAGGACCCCCAGTTGGAATCCAAAGAGGATCCAAAGTTGGAATTCATTGCAAACTTGAATTGTAAGAGATATTGGAGAGGGCAAAGCTGAAGGTGTGTGAATTATATGCCAATATCCACCCTATATATGGACATTGGAAGCTGAAGAAAAGAAGTGTCACGTAGATTAAAATCTTATCTAAAATATCCATAACCAATTACATCTCGACACGTGGCACTCGAAATCCTATCCGAAAAATTATTGAGATTACATATCTACAAGAAATCTGCAAAGTTACTCATAGATTGACATGTGACACTTGAAATTCGAGACGTAAAATTATTGAGATTCCTTATCCACAAGAATTTTGCAAAGTTACTCACAGATCGACATGTGACACTCGAAATCCGAGACGTAAAATTATTGAGATTCCAACTCGAAAAATTCTTGACATTCCATCTCGAAAAATTATTGAGGTAGTTTAATTTAAGTAACCATATTAATTCAAGTAAAATAATAAATTATGTTCGGCCCTATGACCCTTTGGCCTCCTCGGTTGGAGATGTTTTTTGTCAGAGGGCTATGTTTAGCCTATGACCTTCTGGCCCCTCGGTTGGAGATGGTAAGACATATGGCATGACACTGTTCATTAAAATATTAATTTCTTAGAGGGCTATAGGGTTAAAAAGAGTCATCTGGTCCTCCTTCGGTAAAAGATGGCCTTAGGTATTGATAGAATGACATGGTTGTGAAGTTTAGGAGAAAAAGAACAAAAATTTGTCTGTGCAAAATTACTATAATGTCTAATTTTTTTCATTTCTAATATTTTCTTTCAATTAAGTATAAAAAGATATAATAGTAATTTTATTGATTTTTTTAGTTGACAAACATATTTTTATTAATATGTAGTTTAAATTATTCATTTACCCTTTTAAAAATGCAAAGGATCAAATTGCATTTCATTTGATTATTTCTTTTCATAATTTGAAAAGGCAAAAAGGAAAAAAGAAAACTTTCGAAAAAAAAAGGGTAAATGACAAAAAATTACTTCAACTATTGGTCTGACGACAATTTCATACTTCAACTTTTAAAAATAACAATGTCATACCTCATCTTACGAATTTGTGCCAATGTCAAACCTTCGTCAAATTTTCTGTTAAATGTTGACGTGGCCAGAGACGTTACCCACTAATTAATCCAAGTGGATTAAAAAATAATAAAATATATATTATTAATAATTAAATATTCAAAAATTTAAAAATTTAAAAATTTTAAAACTAAACAAATAGAAAAGGCCTAGGGATGCGGGCCTTCCTTTCTTCCACCTGCACCAACCCTTCTCTCTCTCTTCTCTTTATCTTATCCCACATCTCTCTTCCACTTTAACTCCCTCTTCTCTCTGCAACCACGAGCAACGGAGAGAGGGAGGAGAAGAAGGCTCTAAAGGCGAAGAGAGTGGAGGTGGGAATGAGAGGAAGGTTTTGACGATCAAGAGGAGGAGGAAATCGAGAGGTCGAGAAGAGGAGAGAGGTTGGAGGAGGTGTGGGGTCGACGGAGAATCAGATGGAGGAGAGAGGTCGGATGAGGGACTGGGTGGAGAAAAGGTAGGAGGGGAAGGGGATATGGGTGTGGGTTTGGTGTGGGATATGGGTGTGGGCTTGATTTTTTTTGGTTTCTTCAGTGGGGTGGTGAAGATAGAGGAAGAGAGGCGGCAATGGGGTGGTGAAGGAAGGTTGGGTTGGGAGGTGGTGGTGAGGGAAGGATGAGTGCGAGTGGGGAGAGGGACGGAGGAAGGAGACCGCATCCTAGAGAGAGGAGAGAAAGAAAAGAAAAAGGGTGGTGGAGGAAGGTTGGGGAGACGGGTAAGAGTTTGGTGGCTGTCGAAGAGAAGAAGAAAAAGGGTTGGTGCGGGTGGAAGGGAATGTCAGATCCCTTAGGCCCTTTTTTTTTTTTTTTTAGTTTTTTAAATTTTTTAATTTTTGAATATTTAATTATTAAAAATATATTTAATTATTTTTTAATTCAGTTTGATTAATGAATGAGTTCCGTCTCTGGATACATCAGCGTTTAACAAAAAAATGTTTATAAAAACTGACAGAGGTCTAATATTGGCACAAATTCGTAAAATAAGGTATAAAAGTCTCGTCGGACTAATAATTGAAGTAGTTTTTTTGTAATTTACCAAAAAACTAATGCAGTGCATTTATTTTTTTTCTTTTTCTTTTTCTTTTTTGGGCGCTAAGCGACACTAGCTTTTACAATATCCATAAGGTGCTAAAGCAGTGGAGGAACCCGAAATCTACAACTGAGGCTGCGGTTGCAGGGCGTCGTCCTCTGCCGACCATCTCCATATCGTATCACAGTCATGAGCAGTGGTCCTTCTTAGTTGTATGAGCACAGAGAGAGAGAGCCAGAGCGAAATCGCAATTTATTGGGTTAGGGCTTTTCCGCGAGAACTATCCCTTTTGAGCAGCTTCAGGCTTCCCATCGCCGTCGCTGAGATTGAAAGGAGGTATCTTGGGTAAGTGGACTTCCTTCAAAACCATCTGCTGTATGAAATTTGAAAATTTTGAGCTCTGCCCCAATACATTGGGGCGCATTTGGATTCGGCGTTGCAAGGAATCAGGTCCTACTGCAATGCCAAATCCTTGGAAATTAAACGGACCCTGAATTGGAATTGTGAAATCTCTGATGGGTTGTCAATAATTTCAGCATATTATTATTGGGTATTTGAAATTTGGTTGATTAGCATGCTAAGGTTAACAAAGTTGAAATGTTTGTTGCTTTTTGGTAAGCATCTTCTATGTTGTTTGTGTATTTATTGACAACTGAAGGACTCGACAAGTAGAGATTATTGTGTAAGACTGATTTTCTTTTTCGTTTCGGTATTGCAATCCAAGATACTTTCTAGTTTTTGTTGTATTGCATTTTGACACCATCCAAATGGAGCATATGTATAATGACCTGTTTATGTATCATCTCTTGCTTCTTGCTTCTGAGATGAAATGGTTTGTATGTTGTCGGAAACATTAGTTTTCAGAATGATAGTGGGAGGCCAACTTCTCTATTTCATATGTTAGCTGGGGATGTGAACATGAGGTCCTGTAAATGGATCAGGGTTCTTTACCCCACTTTTGGTCTCTTGCAGTTGTAGATGCAATTAGGTAATTTGAGATTGAGAACACATTTTCTTTGGTTTATTAGAGTATATTGAGCTACGAACAATCCACCAGGTGGAGACATTGTTGAGAACCATGTTCTTATCGTGAACCTACAGACCTTACCGATTGTCCTGATGTTTCGTGGAAAAGTTGTCATGTCATTTATAGGGTGGTTTGAAGAATGCGTGAGGTTATGGCATATACGGACAAGTGGAGTTGGAGTTGGAGTTGGACTCTCTGCAATCATGTTCCCATAACATCAGTATAATGTACATGACAACATTCAATAATTTTGAGTGAATAAGAGAAGCCAATGTCATACAAACATTATAATACTTACCAATTGGTCATAAGGAATTTTTTGTTTGTGAAAAATGTTGAAAAAACAAATGAGGTGGGATAGTCACATTGGAGTCCTTGTACTGTCGCTAACAACTAACAGGTATTCTCTTTTTGTGCTCTGCTCTGAATTTGTTTTTCGTTTCTTCTTGCATGACTTGCTTATGTTTCTGCCTGGTTTCCTTGTTAATTGTTGCTTCCATTTCATTTTTCCAGGACGGGCAAGTATTCTGGTTGGTTTCGATAGTTGATATTGAATAGGCAAATGTCACATTCTTTGAGTTTGGCCACTACAGGCCTTTACAAATTTGGATTGAGTCCTCAAACCAGAGTTTCTACCGGGAAATATGGAGTCTCTACTCTGAGATCCTCACCTGGGTTTTTTCGTGTCCGAGCTGTTCAAGAGGGTGGAGGGTCTCGAAGACTAGTTGATATCATCAGAACTGTGCCAGAACTCTCGAGGAACTATTTTAGAAGTCCATCTCGCAGGGCTCTCTTCGGTGGAATCTCTTTGTTGGGTGGCTTTTATGTGGCACAAACGATATCTTTGTCATTTGGAGCCTTAGGAGTCAACGATGTTATTGCTGCAGTAGTGTGTGTTCTCTTGACAGAGTATGTGACAAAATTTTATTACAGCCGACCAAAAGTAACATTCCCCATCGCTCTTCTCAACAATTTCAAAATGGGATTCACTTATGGTCTGTTCATCGATGCGTTTAAGCTAGCCAGTTAATGGCATATTGGAAACAATTAAAGTAATTTGTCGTCGTGATGAAGCCCTTTTGATTTGGCCTATGTAAAGTTCTCTGTGTTTGATAGTGGTATAGAGTAAAAGATAAATTTCCCAGTTTATTTATTTGCTTTTCACCGTATGCAGATTTGCTTTTGGATTTGATTCCAAACTGCTCCTTTTGCTACCTGGAATGGAAACACTGTTCAGGATAAGCTGGAGTTTTGTTTATGCATACTACATTCAATGTGATGTTCCACTAACTGTTGCATTTTTTTTAACAAACGATAGTATTTAAATTAAGAGGGAGGGGGTCAGCTTAACTTCGCAATAAGCTAGTAATAATGTGGTTTAAGTTCGTTTTGGCAAGAATTGAACCTAAGACTTGCATTATTTGCAGATCTTTTTTTTAATCATGCAATTAAGTGATTGATCATTAAGGTACCGTTTGGTACGTGGGACGGGACGGAACAGAGTGGGACAAGGCGTTTCGTCCCACGTTTGGTGTGCCTATAACGGGTGGAACGAGTTGTTCCACGGGACGAGTTTTGGGTGAATTTTCGTTCCACCTCATCCCCCTGGAACGACTCGTTCCACATCCGTGGAACACAAAATTATAACCTCTCCGTCTCCTTCTTCTTCCTCCTTGTTTCCATCCGAGGGCATCTTTGCTCCTGCTCCGTTCCGTCCTGTCCCGTCCTGTCCCGTCTCGTCCCATTCCGTTCCGTCCCGTCCCGTTTGCATACCAAACGATACCTAAAATACTAAAGAGTTTCTAAGATATTAGAATATGAATAAATTATACAGTAATCACACCTAATTACAGTTTCAACCCAAAATGTAGTGGTTTTGCAATCAATCAAAACTACTTTCTCCAAATTGGAAGAAACCAATTTGCGAAAACCAAACATGGGCTTTATTTTAATAGTATAAAGAACTACTGCAAAAAGATAAATGCTTCGTACACGAATAAAAAAGGAAAGATGATAAACACGCTGTTTTCTTTTTTTAAACATTCATGTTTAATCAAATATATTGTTTTTATTTAATTTATTCAATTTGATGATTGAAAGTAAGAGTTTATGAATTGTGAAAGCCTAAATAAAAGAATATAAAAAAACCAAATTGTTACAAAATTAACTCAACACGTCAATGAGGTGTTGGGGTTGACTGGTGATTTGGAATGAGTGCTCGAGTACGTCAAACTTGCACAGAAAACGCACTTTTATGAAAACAGCCAAAGCTTCCATAAACTTGTTTGCCTCTTTACCATCATCAATCATGTCTGTATTGATTGGCCGAATTTCGTCCCTAATGACTTTTTATAGGGATCGAATTTGAGTGCAAGAGACAAGCATATCATACTTTTTTTTTTTTTTTTTTGTCAATAACATTACCTTGATCACAGGATTGAAATTCCAAATTACTAATCCAATTATGATTTTGTATTTAGGTTTTTATCACAAATGATCATTGCAATTGATCCACTTTATTAAGATGGTCTGTAAAATTAAAAATCAATCAATGTAGTTTTTAAAAATAAGTGTTATAAATCAATGTAGTCATTCTATTATAATTTCGTAAAAAAATTTGTTATGTGTTGATGTCGCACATAAGTAGGTCCCATTTTTTTTTTTTTCCTATTTCCTTTATTTATTTTTATATTTTTATTTTGGGTCTGCTTCAAACACGATGGTCAGTAACTGTGGCAGGCAGAAACAAATCTAGGTTTAGGTGCATGAACGGTTGGTCAGGCGTGGAGGTCTGGGAATCATGGTGGCCTGGTGCGAGATGGTACATGGCAGCGGTGGGCTGGGATTTGAGAGCATTGGTTTCATGAGAACGCGGGTCCGTCTGGGTTGCAGGTTAGGTGTGTGCAGGCTGGTGGTTTGCGGGTTAGGCAAAACTGAACAGGCTGGTGGTTGAGGACTGGGCTTCGTGGAAGCAACCCACCGCCTTACAGCCACCGCATTTGGTCTTGCATCGACCCGGTTCCCATTCTTTTCTTCCTAGCTTTTTGTTAGGTTCTCATCCAAAAAACAAAACCCAAAAAAATAAGCCTGTAGAAAAGTAAGGGATGCAGAGAAATAGTATTGTGAAACTGATGATTTCCTTCATTCCTTTCACCGTATAAATAATACAAAGTTTACAAGAGTCCTATTGTAACCATGAAACAACTCTTAACAGATTTATCAACATTTACATTTAAACAGATTGAACCCAAATTTATCAACTCTAAATTGCAGTTGGGCTCTTAGTATATATGGTTTTTTTTTTTTTTTTGGGGGGGGGGGAGAAAGAGTAAGAAATCTTGCTGGCATATTGAACCCAGAAAACAAAATCTCAGTCTCCAGGACAAAAAGATCTTTGCTTATTTGCTGTTGGGTTTGAAAACCTTGGTGAGATAGAGATTTTGGGAAACTTTTGTTTTGATGGGGCTTTTGCTAAAGCAACAAAATCAAGATTGAAAGTCTTTTCAATACAGGTAATGGGGAAGAAAACGGGGGTGCTGGTTTGGGGAAGACGACAACCAGAAAATTAGAGGTCAAATCTAGGTTTTGGAGAAGAATTGAAAAAAAAGTGAAAAACAAAGTTTTTAAGTTTTAGTTGTATAAAAATAAAAATTATTTTTTTATTATTTAAATATTTTAAATCTACATGGCAACATTTAATTAGACTTGTGGGATCCACTTATGTGCCACATTAGCACATAATAGATTTTTTAACAGAATTGTAAAGACTACATTGATTTGCAATACCTATTTTCAGGGACTACATTAATTGATTTTCAATTTTATGAACCAACTTAATGAGGTTGGTCAATTTCAAGGATTATTTATGATAAAACCCTTTATATTTTGGTTGTTAAGCTTTTTCATTTTGTGTAAACTACCTATCTAAGTTTACGTTCAAAGTTAATCTATTTCTTATTGTTTTATGTGTATATTTGATCGATCAAATATTTGAACTCATACTAGTGGTGTAGTAGTAGTGTTATAGAAATCAAACTCAAGAGACATGATTCATATATATATAAGTAGTCATAAGGAGACCATATTTTTAAACCAAATTTACAAATCAAATGATGTATCACTAAAAGAAAATAAGCACGTTAATCAATAATGCAATAATCAACATCAACATCATTTGGTGTAAAAATTTGGTCTCCTTAGCATTACGTATTTTTATTAAACATCACTATTGTCTTTATTCACATACATTTTAAAGTTTAACGTTGAACTTGAGTGGGAGATAGAAAAAGGTTTGAAGGGTCAAAGTGAAAAATTCCTAAAGTTCACCGGGCAAATATAATATAACCCAAAAATTAGACAGACATTATCTTCGAATAAATCTAACAAACTTAAAGCGAATTGTCATTTACATTCCCTCCAAAAATCTTATATTAATATATTCCACTAAACTTTCTATAATTAAAAAAAAAATACATAACTGGGCTAAATAGATAATTCCCTCCTCCCGAGGCCGGCCATCCCTTCCTTCCCTTTTGTCCTTTCGTACTGTTACCGAACAAATCGCGCCACTAAGAAACAACGAGAAAAGCAGTGAAACGGCAGTAAAAGAAGCACCGAAGTCGAATTATTTTGCTCATTTCTACATACGCACTCTCTGCTTTATCTGAATCGCTAATCCCCAGATCAAATTCAGAAGTCAACCTGAACAGAGAAATGGCAGCTAAAAGCAGGCCTCTCAGCTCTAGTCACCGGCGGAGCCTCCGGAATCGGTGAACCACCTCACTTTTACGTTCATCAAATTTAACAACACGAGTATTGGTTTAACTGTGTGTGTGTATATGGATATATATGTATGTATCTATGTATGTATGTATTAATCGGAATTGTGAAAATTTACGAGAACAAAGAATTTGATTTTTGAAATGTCCAAATCCGTTTCGGCCTTGTTTGGTCTCGAGGATTGGATTGGATTGGATAATCCATTGGATTCAAGTTATGGTGAATGTAGAGGTGAACCATTTTTTAATTTGAGGGGATTACACGTTAAGGGAAATTATGTTTTCTAATCCTCCCATTTCACGGGGAATTGGGATGGATAAGTTTTCTCGATGAGTAATCCATCTCATACCTTCAAGTTGGACATAATTTTTTCATTTCTTCATTCTAACTTACCTTGGATATAGTGGGTTTTCCATTCCAATGATCCAATCCAATCGTAAACACCCAACTAGGCCTTCAAATCCAGGCCAATTCTTAACGCAACCGCTAACCCAGTGCATACACAATTTACTTACATTGTAGACTTGCAAATTGTTTAGCAATATGATTGTTTTCGTGATGCTAGCTGTTTTTATTAGTGATTCCGTGGGCTGTTTCTGTGTAGGAAAAGCTCTGAGCCTAGCTCTGGCAGCGAAGGGAATATTTGTGACAGTCGTCGATTTCTCTGAAGAAAGGGGGAAGGAAGTTGCATCCCTTGTTCAGAAGGAGAATGCCAAGTTCCACTCCAATTTAGGTTTCCCGTCTGCCGTGTTTGTAAAATGCGATGTTTCAAATACAGGTGAGTGAACAGTTTGTACAACCGTCCTGCCAATGAATGGAATTACTGAAGGTTAATATTGTATGGTAAAGATTTGAGAACTAAGACGTGTGATGTCGTCTTTCTGCTTGAACTGTGTTTATTTGTAAGTTTTAGCATGCTTCCTCTGTACAATGACACACCAAACATTCTACAGGGAGGCCAAAAAATATCATAATGTTTCATGAGAGTCTATTGAGCCATGATTAAAAGAATTTTGATATAGAAAGGAAGATTAAAGAAAACCTGTTTTGTTTTTAGTCGTGTTTCTGTGATTACCAGTCTGCACATGCATCTGCATTTCACACTCACGAACTTAAAACTTGAAGAGGTTATCTTCTCGATCCTCCTATATGGCTTTTATATTAATTTGGAATCAAATGGTACCTTTCAGATAGTTACATTATTTTTTATGTCATGGACAGGAGATATAACTGCTGCGTTCGAGAAGCATTTAGCAACATTTGGAGGATTGGATATCTGTATAAACAGTGCAGGCATTGGTACTGTCACACCATTTGATAAGGATCAAACCAATGGTACTCATACCTGGAGGAAAACAATTAACGTGAATCTGGTGGCAGTTATTGATTGCACTCGCCTTGCGGTATGCTTTGAATCTTGACTCTTTTTTCCTGACATACTTGTTAGGTCTTTGAAAACCCAAAAATTCTATCAATGATCATTTCCAAACAAATTTTAATTGATAATGCTGAGGGGATATATTGTCATTCCTATCTTCTTAACATAGGAATATCTTTTGTTGATTCATGAAGGTCCTTATGCTATGTTATACAATTTCAGTACGCCATTATACCACCAGTGGTATCTATTACCTTATTTTATTGAAAAAAATATCACTTGTTATGGACTGAAAAGTGATTTTGTGAAGCCTTTCAATAAATGACAAATAAGCTGTTTCATCAGTTTATGAAGACTATGGTAACATTTCACCATTTTTTTACTGACAGAGAGACCTTTTGAATCATCTTTAGTCTTGCACGTTTCTACTTTTCTTCTATGTTGTGTCCCTTTTGCTGTGGTCCCTATTTTTTTCCCAGTAGTTAAATAATGGGTTACTCGCTCAGAATTTTGCTTAAAAGACTTTCAATTTAGGCTTATTGAAGTGATGATAAACTGTTCTGCGTCAGGAAAGAAAATTGAGAGCCATAAGGTATTTTACCTCTGTTGACTACATTAGTGTCTTAATGAATCAACTATGTTCCTAACAGATTAAAACTATGGAAGCTTTGAAAAAGCCTGGCGTAATTATCAATATGGGTTCTTCCTCAGGTCTTTACCCATTCTATACTGATCCAATCTACTCTGGCTCCAAAGGTTTGTTCTTTGTACTAGCTTTGTCCGGATTTGCTCTCCAAAGCTCTTCTTTTGGTCAGTTTTTTCCTTTTCTTTGAGTATCAGCAGATACCGATAAACTAAAGTACACCTAACATGAATATATATTGTCAGTATATTTTCATTGATACATTATTGATCATAAGACAATGCTTTTGCAGGTGGGGTTGTTCAATTTACCAGATCTCTTGTTCCATACAAACGTCGAGGGATTCGCATCAATGTGCTTTGTCCTGAAGTAAGATAGTAACTTACATTCAACTGATATTAGCCACAATGCAAAGGAATATTTTAGTAAAACACTTTCCTACGTATTTGATGCAGTTTGTTGAAACTGAGATGGGCTCAAAGGTGAGTTCTAAATTCATTGATCTAATGGACGGTTATGTGTCCATGGAAATGGTGGTAAAAGGTAATGCGTTACTGAAATCTTTTCTTTGAAGAAGTTTGTGATTCTAGTAATCATCTGCGATTGTAAATTTTAGTGATAGGTACTAGATTTGTTGGACCTCATGGTCAAGGATTTACTCAAATTGTAAAATACCCTATTATATGGAAAAAAAATCAAGAAATATTTTATGCTGATCTGCAAAAACAGTTGTATAGCCGCAATGATGCTTTTTATGTCTCAATTTATTAGCTTTAGATGATCCCATGTAGATAACCAATGCACTTTTCAAGTTATGGATACTTCGCTTGTTTCAAATTATGGCTTTTATTTTGTTTTGTTATTTTTTTTTTTTATTTTCAATTTTTTAATTTTGGAGTGATGTTTAGCCCCATAGTTTGGGAGGGGTGTTTTGAGAAATGTTCTGTTGTCTGTACCTTGCGAAGTTAGTCCTTTTCCACTCAACTCTATGAAGTCAAATGTCAAAACCTTCAGCAGGGCTATTGGGGAGGTTTTCTAGCTTTTAGCATATGCGGCTGTGTGCCATCTGACTGACATGGTTCTTGGACATTGTTTGGCCCACAATGTAAAAATTCTGGGTTTAAGAAAATTCCATGTTTATTCCTAAATAAAGGTTTCATCTTGAATCATGCAATCACTGATACATCAATCATATTTTATAATTTTCATATACGTTCTCAAGTTCCAAGCTGTTGTATTGTATTTGTAGGCGCTTTTGAGCTTATTAATGATGAGAGTAAAGCTGGCTCATGCCTATGGATTACAAATCGAAGAGGCATGGAATATTGGCCAACTCCCGCAGAAGAAGCAAAATACTTGGTTCGCCATTCAAGTTTGAGGAAAAGAGCTGTGGTAGAAGCTCCTTTCAATTTTCAACTTCCAGAAAGTTTTGAGAAATTGTGAGTAATAATGCATCAAACATTATTTCCCTTTTTCTTTTTCAGAAAGATATCAGCTCTTAGGTGCTTTACCATATACTATAATGCATGGTTGGATTTATCTTATTGTGAATCTATAAATTGAATTTGGCTAGTATAAGAGAACAAAATTATGATATTGGGTAAAGTTGGTAGACTATTTCCTACTAAATGTCTGTCAAATGATGACTTTTATTGGTATAGGCAGAAAATGAAGCTTTGCATAATTCTGGTCATTGGATCCATTTTCCGCACTTGGCTTACAGATATCCTTTGATTGTGAAATTTTGAGAAAGAGGAACTTTCTAAATGCATTGCCATGCTTGTGTGTAAAATGCTCGCTACAAATTATATCTTTGGTATTGTAGTCTCAAAACTTTTCCTGTCATGTTTCAATTGTTATCTGCTCAAATCTTTCTCATGTTTTGTTTAGCATTAGGTCACAGAAGCAAGCATAAATTATCTCTTGAAAGAATGTGAGTGGTTTGTTATTAGTTTTTGTTAGCTAATAACAGTTACTTTTATTCAGAGTTGTTCACACCTTGAGTCACAATTTTCGTAATGCTACCTCCATAGTGCGTGCACCATTGAGACTACCCATTGAACCGCACAGTGTTCTTGTGAAAATCATATATGCTGGTGTCAATGCTAGTGATGTAAGCATCTGACTCTCCTTGAAATATTGATTCTAAGTTTTCATTCTCATAGTTTATGTTTTGCTATCAAACGTTGTACTGGCTAATATCTGTTGCTCTTTCTTATTTATGATGCACGTTTTCTTTTGAGACATGATTGAAATTGGACTGAACTTAGTGATATACTGGATGATGAGTTGCCAGGGGAAGTGTCCCATCAGGTGTTTTAGCAAGTAAAAGTTAAGGCTTATGATTACTTGGCCAGGCAGCAGCCTCTATGGGAGTTGCTTTGGCATGGTCCCAAGACTGGATTACAGTCTACAAAAATGGATTGAATAAATGCACAACACAGGCTGCCGTGGGGGGAGTGCATCACCTTCTATGATGAGAAAAAGTGCTAATTATACAGAGAAGGGATGCTCTGGTAGAATAAGATGGGATGGGGCTGGGGAACAATCTAAGGAGTCTAAATACTTTTGTTCTTGCATTTTTAATTATGTGATAATTGTTTACCAAGTATAATGATATTGAAGATCCTGTCTCCTTTTGTAAAGCAAATAATATATGCTCTAACAAGGACTTATTATTCATAGGTAAACTACAGTTCAGGACGTTATTTCAGTGGCAAAACCAAAGATACCGAGTCCCGTCTTCCATTTGATTGTGGTTTTGAGGTGCAGGACAATTTATAATTTTTGACATAACAATCACTCGTGCACTGATGGTTTACAAATGTTTAAGTTAAGGTTATTGCTATTTGTGATGTCTAGTTGACAAAACTGTTTCACTGTTGCAGGCTGTGGGGATAATTGCAGCAGTAGGGGACTTTGTTACTAACTTGCAAGTTGGTACTCCTGCTGCAATCATGACTTTTGGAAGTTATGCAGAATTTACGTTGGTACACTATCTGGAGAATATCTTTTCTATGTTTACTGAGATGGTCTTTCATTTTTAATGTCAGACGTTTCCAAGTTTCCACTAATTCATGACACTAACTGATTCTATTATATTTTTGTTCATATATTTCTTTATAATATCAATAACTAGGTTATTTGATGAGCTTTCAACTTGGTTAGGTACCTTCAAAACACATCCTTCCTGTGGAAAGACCAGATCCAGAAGTTGTCGCTATGCTTACTTCAGGACTGACTGCATCAATCGCTCTAGAAAAGGTTAAATATGTGTGCGTGTGGTCGGAAAACTATGTGTAGTTCAAAAAATGTTAGCGCACTTGTGTTTTTGTATCAATATTTTGTATTTTTTTTTTGCTGAATCCTAGGTGATTATTCAATGATAACGTCCCGTGGAGTTTCTAATAATTTTCTAGGAATTGTGTGTAATATTATTTGTAGCCTTCGTTGTTTTTAATAGTTTAAATTATTCAATGAGACACCACATTTTTATTCGTCTGACACTTTTTTTTATTATGCGCATCTAGGCGGGACAAATGGAATCTGGGAAAGTAGTTCTTGTCACTGCTGCTGCTGGAGGGACTGGGCAATTTGCAGTCCAGGTTTGCTTTCAAATGTGGAAATACTCTTTCTTATATGCATGCTTTTTTGTTCGATTCCACAGGGTGTATGGCTATTTGTGATATCACTGTATTCACTGTCTAAATGTTGCCGATACATACCCAATGTTTTAGTATGTCAAACTCGTTCACATCAACAAGGGGATGGAATTCTGGGGCAAAAAATCCCATCCTCTATCTCCTGAAAGCCCACCAAATTTGATGCATATTGATCGAAATGTTTTGTCCTGCCATTTAATTCTGACATTATATGATGCCAACCTTTGTCTTTCTTCGCTCAAACACTACTCTTAGTAGTCCTTTATGTGCATAGCTTGCAAAACTTGCTGGAAATACTGTGGTTGCAACTTGTGGAGGTGCAGAAAAGGCAAAGCATTTGAAAGAATTGGGGGTTGATCGAGTCATTGACTATAAAGCTGAAGATGTCAAAACTGTATGCCTTTTTAATCTTTTCCCTTTATTTATGAAATTGTTTCTTTAGTTGTATTTGATGGAATTCTCAGCTGAAAAAGGATTCATGACTTCTTTGATGTGATGCAATATGTCAAGTAATCCAGCTAATAGTATCGACTATCTTCTTATACCGATTGCTTAGTGCTTTTTATTTTCAAAGACTCCTCAGATCAATATTTACCTTAAGCATGTGATGAAATGCAATGTTCTTAAGATCAGTACAATTTTTAATCTACCAACTCAAACACCCAAGTTTCCCAAAGTTAGGAGGCTTGTTACAGTTGGTATTAGATTATAGAATTAATCTGACTCAATCATTATCTGGCACTGGGTAATTGCCAATCTAGTTCTTCCATTTTGTTGAAGTAACCTTGACTCATAGGTCATAGACTCATAAGCTTGTATGGTTCTCCAGTTTTATCAGGTTTTCCTTCTGCATATTACATACGTTACTGAAGATGGTTTGGTAATGCAGTCAGAACACTCGCTAATGTCAAAACACATTTTTGTCATCCCTACTTCTTAGGTTTAAATTGAACTAAATGGAATTCACTTTATAACATGGATCCACGCACGTCTTGGAGGAATAAAGGAACAGCCACCACAAAGAACTAAATGCTTTTGAATCTGATGGAGATAAAGGAGCAATGCAATCCATTAATTGATAACTTTCAATTTTGCAGGTTCTAAGGAAGGAGTATCCCAAAGGTGTTGATATTATCTATGAGTCTGTTGGTGGTGACATGTTTGATTTGTGCTTGAATGCTCTTGCGGTCTATGGACGACTCATTGTGATCGGAATGATTTCTCAGGTTCTTTATTCATGCAAGCATAAACGTTACTAGAATATAATTGTCTTTCTTGACACTTGATATGCTGACTTTGATATAGAAAATTGAAATATACCAAAAGGTTTGTTTCGATTTTCATTTTAGGTTATGTGCAAATATGTAGTAATAGTATGAATATTAATAGAAAATTTGATAGGATTAATTATGTAAATTGTATATCAACATATGCAGTCCAACAGACACATCCGTCTCCGCCAGTAATGGTAAAAATCAGTTCAAGCTCCAGTTAGCAGTCTGAACCATATGCTGAGCTGGTAAAAGATTTCTGGGATATACAGGCTCAGCTTTAGAAACATATTCTCCTTGTTCGGTTTAAACAGTCCTTGGGCCTAGGAAGCCTTTGGGATACCCTTGAGTTGGTAAAAAAAAAAAAAAAAAAAAAACTTTCCTTGTTTGTTCAAATTTCTATAGATTTGGATTTTGTTTAAATTCAATTATGTGGATTTTCTCGTCTGCTGAGGAATTTTCTTGTGTTTGATGTTGGTGGATTTAGTATTCCTTTGACATGATTCATTATGGTCACAGTATCAAGGAGAGCATGGGTGGAAGCCGTCAAACTATCCTGGAATTTGCGAAAAGATTTTAGCGAAAAGCCAAACTGTGGTATGTAGCTGCTGAATACTTAAACTACACTCCTTGAGTATTCTCTCAATTCAACTGTTTTTGTCACTGGGATACTATAATCGGGTCATTAGTTGATCCATTCACAGGATCTATTGCACTGCTTTGAGAATTGAAACTGCATTCAAATATCTTTCGGTGAATTCATCTATGGTAGCAAATGTTTATTTAACAAATTTCATATCTTCAGGCTGGTTTCTTCCTAGTGCAATACAGTCACCTCTGGCAAGAACATCTGGATAAACTAGTTCATCTTTTCTCCAAGGGAAAGCTGAAGGTCAATATTTTACTTATCTTTGCTCAACCTTTTCACTCACCTAAATAATTTACTGTACTCTATCCTAGGACGACTTAGGTTTTAAATTGATGATACTCCTAATCGTATCTTATGCGCTCATTTTTATAGGTTTCGTTAGACCCAAAACAGTTTCTGGGCGTCCGTTCGGCCGCAGATGCTGTGGAGTATCTCCATTCCGGTAAAAGCGTAGGGAAGGTAATTCATCTGTCCTATCTTTTACTTGTCTCACTCTCGATGTGGTAGCGTGACAAATCAATTTCCCCTAAATGCCTTTTTTCCTTGCGACTAAATAAATGTCACAGGTTGTCGTTTGCATCGATCCATCCTTTAGGCAACAAACGTCACGATTATGAGCAGATGGATGTTGTCTTGTAGCCTCCCAGCATATTTTTCTTTCCTTTCCGAGCAACAAACGCTCGAGGGTGAGAAAGAATATTGGAGGGCACCGATAACATTTGCAGCTCTTGGCGAATGAGGCTAGCCAAAGATCATTACAGTTCGTCTGCCATAGAAGATATCACAAAAGCGGTACACAGCTCACTCCGAACAATGTGTTGAAAAATTTAACGGACCCAAAGAATAAAGTGGTGGTGGTGTTGGATGCAGTCTACCCCATAAGAATATTTTTTAGAACAAAAATATTTTTGGTTGTGAATTTGCCATTCCCGAGATCCCAACTTATGAAGTGGAATACCACCGTAAAAAGTTTTATCGTGTAACGTTTTTTTATATCGTTATTTAGCCTGTCACGAGGTGCAATGTGAGGAACGCACTCTGCATCAGTTGACTAACTTAACCAACTCTAACTGTGAACTTTAAAAACAAGAGAATATCGGGATGAGTTTTCCAGTTCTTTCCAGTGCTAGTATTCTACAGATAGTAGCACTGAAATTCCCACTTAAAAACTCTTAAAACGATACATCCACCCACATTCAAACACAAGCCCTAAGAAAAGGAGAGACAGAATCAGGACGACTCTTTATTTCTAGTGGAACATCTGTTACAATCCTCAGAGAGATTGTTTACTATTAGACCGAGGGATAAGTATTTCGACTCATTCACATTCAGATCATGAATGTTTTGAATCCATGTTATACACCTGTAGTTCATCCCCCTCAGCTCTGTCGTCAACCGCTTCCCTCTGCCGTTCGTGTTAGTGTTTTCAGAGCTGATTAGCTTGAATTCTAGTTGGATTTAATTCTAGAAATCACTGAGATTGTGATCTTAGAGTTGCAGAGAATGAAGGAGGAAGAAGAAGGAAACCAAAATCGAATACGACTCTCAAAGAATCTTCATCGGATTCTATCTCTCAATTCTGTTGCAAAGCTTCACACCTCAGGGGCAAGCAAACCCTGGTGAATTGTTCTCAGACTTGTAGTAAACCACGTGGATTATGTTTGATTACAGTGCTTCCCTTATGTAATGGTACCTTCTGGCAATGTGCTTTGATCTTTGATGAAACACAGGGTTCCTTGTCATTGCTATTGAAGAGGTGTTGTCACACTAAATTGGACTAGCCTCGGTTTGTTCCTCTCAAAAATCCTGCAATACATATCTGAGCCACACAGCTTGTGTTGTTGCTTCAATTGCACTCGTATACTCAGCTTCAGCCTTCAGGTGTTGAAAGTGCTACACTATGTTGCGTCTCAGAGGCCCATGAAAATATGCCACCACCAAATGAAAAAGTATAGCCTAAAGTGTTTTCATATCAGATTCATCCCCACTCCAGTCACTACCACAATATCCAATTAGTAATTTAGTAGCACCTTTGCCTATACACAGTTTCATCAGAGCAACTCCACCGTGGTGGATTGCTCGGGGGACAACCCAGAGAAAAGGGCCCAAGGCCCTGTGGATCGGCTCCAGCGTGAAGGAGCCCGAGTGGAGGTGGAGGCTCGAGTTCCGGGCTTGTGAAGAATTGCCAGCCCGAGTGGATGTGACGCCAGGGCTGACGTCAACCTGGCGTCAAGCCTTCTTTTATTTTTTTCTGTTAGGCACGTGCACCCCACTCGCGCGTCGGGGTGCGTCGCCGACACATCAGCCCACTTTTTCAGATTCAAATGTTACCGTTGGGAAGCCATGTGGCTTCCCACGGTTCGTTCGATCTCAACGGCTATTTAACTTGGACCATTAGATCTCAACAGTAAAAAAAAATAAAAAAAGTCTTATTTAATATCCACCGTTCGATCTGAGATTAACGGTCGATATTAATATACTTTATAAATAAATAAATAAAAGAAAAAATAGTTTTAAAATTAAGAAAAGTTACCGTTGCGACACGTGGCACAATCTGGAGTGTTGGAATTCAAATTTTTTTATATCCAACGGCAGAGATTAATTAGTTGAATAAAAAATTAAAAAAAATTGTAAAAAATGTAAAAAAAATTCTAAAATTTATAAAGAATTGTAAAAAATTGTTTTTACTTTTCTATAAATACATTCTCATTATCATCTACCTTACACCACAATTTCATATTTTCTCAACTACTTTCAATCACATTCCTATCTTTATCTCAAAGTTTCAATCCAATTTTTTTCAACAAAATGACTACTGATACATGTACGAATTGGTCGCTTCTTGAGAAAATTGGTGTGAGATTTGTGAGGATGGATAATGGATTATATAGAGGATTCAGAAAGGATTAGGTTGTAGATAATGCCACGTGCCATGCCGTTATTCGTTAAAAATTTATGGAAATTTATCCTCAAAGATTGTAAAAGATTATGACACGTGACGCGACGTGATTGGTTAATAATCTTATTAGAAATCCATCACCAATAATTGTATTTTTCGGATAATGACACGTGGCGCAACGAGTACGATTAAAAATCTTATCGGAAATCCATCCCCAATAATTGTCTTTTCGGATTTTATGACAAGTGGCGCAACGAGAACGATTAAAAATCTTATCCGAAATTACAAATAAAATTATTTTGTATTATTTAATAATTTTTTCTATAATGACATGTGGCGCAACGAGAACGATTAAAAATTTTATCCAAAATTACAATTAAAATTATTTTGTATTATTTTATAAATAAATAAAATACTAATTTTTTATTGCCTATTGTTAGGGCTATTGGGGTAACGGTGGAGATGCAAAAGGCGATTACTGTTCATTAGAGCAGTTACTGTTCACTGGATGGATGTATTGCCTAGGAGAAGGTTTCACACGATGGAGTTGCTCTCAGAAGGATCACTTCCATCCTCGTTTTTTCAATTTTAAGGTGTGCTTATAGGCTTGCAACAAAGACAATGCATATTTCTTCTGCTTTATAAAAATTCCATGCTCACATTGGAGTATTCCCATTCCAAGGAAATGATACAACCCCAAGTTTGTCATCTCACATGAAAAACTAAATGAGTATTTCTATAAATGATATAGAGAACGAACAGTTCTGATTGTAACATTTGTACGGTAAAATATTGTCACTTCTTAATTCCTCTTTACATCTCAACTAGTGTTGGGTCATCGTTTTGCTCTTTCAACTAGCGAGAACCACTTGTGTTTGAAGAGAGTTGTATTGTGAGATAACAGGTAACTTTCATGATAAGAAAGCAAAAATTGGATAGTTTTGAGACAACAGTTCACGTTAATTGGCTCTGTATCATACATATCTTCCCATGTTAGCTGGAAGGTACAAAAGAGAATACCAGATTCCCTACTTGGTAACACTACCTTGATGATGTCTATACAAAAGATGGTCAATCTATCGATGTGCCCGGGACTCCACAGAAACACCCAAGACCATAACACAAAACGCAAGTGGGACTCTACAGAAGCATCGAAGATCATACCACAAAACGCTTCTTCACCACGTAGCTTGGCACAGTTCTGGTTCTGAACAATAAACCTTGATATATACCAAAATAAGAACCAGAGGAATTGAAGTCTTCTCATCACCAAGGAGCTTTAGCCACTTCTTGGAACATATGCTCAAGCTTCTCCAAACTCGTGTTTAGACTCTCAATCTCAGAGTCAAGCATATTTATAGCATCTTTTACTACCAAAAGTTTTGCCTCCAAGCTCCTCATCTCTTCTTCTGCCCGGTCCCTTTCAAGTCTAGCCTCTTTAAATCTTTTCGATCTTGAAGCAAGACTTACAAGCTGGTTCAGACGGGCATGCAGGAACCCGACATTCATGCCTAAACCCTCAAAGGCTTTCAAAGTCTTATACCAAGTGGTAAAATTGCCTTCCAATGTAGTAACACTGCAGGACCTGATGGCATCTGCAATGTTGATTGTCTCAGAAATTGCTCCAGAAATCAGTTTGCAGTTTAGACCCTCGAGAAGAAGTTCATGGAGGAACGAGTTTTGACTGCAGCAGAGATCATAGTACTTGGTCAGAAGGTGTTTTGAAAACTCAGAATTTATGTTTAAACCATTGACAAGAACATTGAAGTTCTCCATGCTTTTCACTTCTTTGAAAGCAACGTGAGACTCTGAAAGCTGAAGTCCATCCAGAACTTCAAAACCACGATCTTCACTATCATTTCCAGAATGCTCTGATATCAAACCAAACTTTGAAGCAAAGGCTATTGCGGTATCCTTTGGAATAGTTTCCAATTTCTCCCTCTCTTCCCTTTCACATGCTATAACATCTCCTGCTTAATTAAATTATAGTTATGATAAGTGAGGCCAAAGAAGTAATAGTTATGATTTTCAAGCCTGTTAGCAAAATAACTAGATGAATTTCGAAACAGCTTACCAGTATCCGCCAGTTTAATAGAAGCATCTAATTTCAAAGGGTCAATATTGCAATCCATGCCGTCTAAATCATTTGATCTAATAATATACACCTACAGGAAGTAGGCAACAAAAGGATTTAGTGGTTAGTACGAGTTTCAGAAGTAGAATCTCAAAGCAGTCAAATATCTACATACTATGCTTGGCAGCCCACATTCAAGAAGCATTATGAATTCGTCTCTCAGAAGAATCAATCTATATCCTTTCCTTAAAACCTCCGTTCAAGTGAAACCCCGCTTACTGTTAAGAAATTTTAATGACAAGCTCAAAATTCTACAAGGAACTGCATTATTCCTAGCCTATTTCATTGAATTGCAGACCGAATATTCTCATCAATTTCACAATCATAACGGCCTCCCTACCATCTATCTTCTCTATATGCTTTACAGTGAGAACATCTTTGGCTTGCAAGATTTGGTTTCCAGAGTAATGACCAATTTTTTAGCACAGTATTTTTTATAACAAATTCGTCAAGTTTTAACTGAAGTAATCTAATGTAAATACTCAATCAAACAAGAAAAGATATCCAGATTCTACACAAGCATTCCAAGAAGGTACAAGTTACTACCTTAAATTTGGACGGGGTGACCAGATGGAAAATCACGGCATCTCCCTCCCGTAGCTTGCGGGCAATTGAAAAACCTCTCCATCCACCACTCAGTCCCACCTTCTCCGCAAGATATTTAGTACCAAATTTATCCCCATTTTCATCTTCCAAAACAATCGTCTTATCTTGTTTTGGCATATGATCAAAGCAGAATTTCTTGGAAAGACCCTGCCAAACCAAAACCAAAGCGAGTGCATATAAATAAGTACATCATCCTAACAATACAGGCCTTGATAAGTTGGTATAACTGCACAAAGTGTGAAGAGAATGAGTGAGAGCTTAAGGTTTACAAGCCAGAAACATCCAGCAACGTGAGAAGGCAGCATGACTTTGAGCAGGATAGGGAACTTAGGATCGAGGGTTGCTTCAACCTCCTTTGCTCTTTCATATACGCTTTTTGCTACGGTAACTCTCTTTCGCTTACGGCTAATGGTAAAAGATTGAGAATCAAGTGTTACTTCACAGTCAATCAAAAAAAAAAACAATTTCGGCAAATAAAAAGCAGATTAAAAATGTAAATTAAATATATACTGACTGACTGACCTTTCAGGCATATTTGGATTAGCATTACTGCAACTGACTACCCGTATCTGAAAATTTTATTTCGTGTTAGAATATGTGAAGAAATTAAGAAACTAAATTTCTCGCTAGTTCAAGTGCATACAACCAAGATGTGCAGAATATAAACAAGAGCCCCAGCCCAACTTGGAAAAATATTTGTTTTTAAAATTCCAGCCAATTCGAAGGTGTGCGCGGAAATTATTTCCCAAACTAGTTTTTTTTTGTAATTTTTTTCATTTAAATCATTGAACATATTTCATTTCTTTGTAAAGAGGCTCATGTTTATGAAATTGACCAAAAACATTTCAAAAAGCTTATTGCTTGAAATGGTTAATCTTAATCAGACTACATGCAATTCAAAATAGGAAGAACAAAAACCCAATACAAATATGTATGAATAAATAAATAAATAAAAATAAATAAATAAATAAATATATATATATATATATATATATATATATAATATAAGGTTTTCTCACAATGCTTTCACCAGACTCTGCAAAATCATTAGTAAACAAAACACTCAAATTTTATTCACTTTCCAAGGAAAACCCATTAACATATTACATGTCACAGAGAGAGAGAGAGAGAGAGAGAGAGAGAGAGAGAGAGAGGACCTTAGGTGGTGGTGGGCAAGAAGAGCTCTGCTTCTGCTTCTGGTCTTGAAGAACAGCCATGGCCATGGATACACACACACACACACTCTCTCTCTCTCTCTCTCTCTAACTTTATGGTTATGGAGGTAAAGAGTGAATAATGGAAAAGATGAAAAGACCGTTCCATGTACTTTTGTCAGTCACTCGAGCTAGAGGCTGCCTAATGGAATTCAAACATAATAGGGGCATTTTGGGAACCATACAGGTAACAACAATAATTTTCTAGCCATTTTCAAGGAAACATAATGCTATTCCACTTCCCCAAAAAATTATAAAATACTACTACAATTCCCTCCCAAACATATTTAAAGGATGAGCATGGGTGTGTAATGTTCAAACGTTTGCAGTAGGAAATAGAAACTGTAACTCTTTGACAGTCAAGTTTTAGAGAAATTCTTCCGTCCGGAACTCCAGTTAGTGGTGGGCCATGGAGGTGGTGTGATAGGACATGAGTGGGGACATTACATAGCGTAATAGTGAGTCTTAATGCAAGGGGTGAGTATGGGGGCTTTATTGTGTCTCGGCCGCATAGACACGTGACCTAGATGCCGAACTCCAAAATTTCTTCAAGTCTTGGGTAAGTTTTCACAGCCTCTGTTGTCTTGCGACCTACTGTGAATGGGGGTAATATTATATCATGGTAATCAAGTTACGATCACGTTGAAAAATTCACTAATGTGAATAATGGATCTATGCAATGTATCTTAAGGAATTTCTTGTTTGGAAATATTCTTGGTCAGATTTTTGGTTCTTTATAGCAACAATACGGCTGAATATTGAAATTTATAATCGAACGGAGGAGGATATAACTGATGCCTCCAGACCGGGTTCTATATCATACATTCCAATGCTGGAAATTGCCAAAGAGAAAATCAGAAGGTAAAACATTCCTCCCGACTAGCTACTGATGCCTCCAAAGCACACAATTCTGTAGAGAAATTACCCAAAATCTCTGCAGCACTGGCATAAAACAACCATCTATATAAAAACCCAAAATGCTGAGTGATAACGGCACAAGATGCGCATTTCTTCCTCACCTAGCTTTGGCATCATATCTTTTAAGTTATATCCAAAAAGAGTAACCAGATTCTTTCAAGTTTTCTCATCACCAAGGGGCTTTAGCCATTTCTTGGAACAGAATTTCCCGCTCCTCTAAACTCGTGTTCGGAGTCTCAATCTCAGAGTCAAGACTATTCATGACCTCTTTCACTTGCAAAACATTTGCCTCAAGTCTTTTTGATTTTGAAGCAAGACTTGTAAGCTGGTCCAGGCGGGCACGCAGGAAATGGACATTCATGCCTAAATCACCAAAGGCTTTCAGAGTGTTATCCCAAGTCGAAAGATAATCTTCCGGGGTAGTGATCTTGCAGGCCCTGATGGCATCTGCAATGTTGACTGTCTCAGAAATTACTCCGGCAATCAGTTTGCAGTTCAGACCCTCGAGAAGTTGTTCATGAAGGAAGGAGTTCTGACTGCAGCAAAGCTCATAATACTTGGTCAGGACGTATTTCGAAAATTCAGAGTTTATGATTAAACCATTGACCTGAACGTTAAAGTTGTCCAAACAGTGCACTTCTTTAAAAGTGACAACAGACTCTGAAAGTCTAAGACCATCCAGAAATTCGGAACCAACATCTTCGCCGTCATTTCCAGACTGATCTGATGTTGGACCAGAGTCCGTATAATAGACTATTGCATTCTCCTGCGGATTAGGTTCCAAATTCTCACGTTCTTCCTTTCCACATGCAGTAAAGCCTCCTGCGTGATTTAAATCACATGTACGGATCAGAAAAGGTAAGAGTTGTTTATGATTGCGACGCCACTTGCCACACATAACTTGATGAGTTTTGAAACAACTTACCGGTATCCATCTGTCTGATGGGAGGATCTACCCTCATAAGAGGAAGACTCCAGTTCACTTCATTTGACCTAATGATATATACCTGCAACAAGTAGGTAGCAAAAGAATGGAGTGTCTCGTACGCATTCAGAAGTAGTTCTCTTTTCCAAATTTGTCAAAACAATAAAATGTTATAGATCTTATCCTTTTTTTCTCAAAATTTCCATTCAGGGGAAACCCATCTAAATTTAAGAAAACAAAATTTGGCAAACTCAAAAAAATGTACACTTACTAACTTATTCTGCCCTTTTTCTTTAAACCACAGGATAAACATTTTCATCATCTTCACAACCATAGTGGCATCCCCGAGATTCAGGTTGCAAGGCTATGATCAATTTAAGGATTTCTCTTTTCCAAGTTTGTCAAGTTCAACTATATGTTACATAATGGAACTTGGAACAAAGGATCAGCACATAAATTTCAAGAAGGGTCCATCAGTTACCTTAAATTTGAAAGGAGTGACTAGATGGAAAATCACAACATCTCCCTTCATTATCTTGTGAGTAATTGAAAACCCTCTCCATCCACCACTCAGTCCACCCTTCTCCACAAGATACTTCGTTCCAAATTCCTTCCCATTTTCATCTTCCAAAACAATCATTGAATCTTGTTTTGGCATATATTCACTGCAAAATTTCTTAGCAAGATTCTGCCAAACCAAAGTCAGTTCAAATAAGTATATCATCCTAATTAGTCAATGTATTCAGATAACTGCACAAATTGTTGACAAGAGTGAGTGAGGCTTACAAGGTAGAATCCTCCAGACACTTCTGATGGCATCATAACTTTGAGCAGTGAAGGAAACTTATGATCTAGGCTTGCTTCGATCTTCTTTGCTCTTTCCAAAACAGAAGACTGAGCTTGGGAACTATTGTATAAGCTTTCTACTGTAACTCTTACAGGGGCCTTTCGTTTACGACTATTGGGAAAAAAATTGAGGATCCAGTGTTACTTTATAACCATTACAAATAATATCAATAAGTAAAAGCAGATTAAAAAGTTAACTAAAAATTCACTGACCATTTAAACATCATGGGATTAGCATTAGCATTCAACACCTGTATTCAAGAACTCGCAAGATATTTCAGTTAGTTCAGTGTATACTGACAAGAAATGGAAATTCCATATTTGTAACTACAAGAATGTGATGCTCAGAATCTCGCTAAGGAGCGCTACAGCCTACAGGCCTAAAAACGACACTAATTTTTCGTTGCTTGCATGATTGATTCAATGCGTAGCTACAGATCAATTTTTTTTTTCTACCTAATTTGGCATGACTTTCACGATTCCTAGCATGCCCTTACAACATACAAAACATGAACAGAATATTTTACTTCATTACCGTCTGATAGCCATCTGAGATGAAGGAGATTCTATCAAAATCCCCATTTCAAAAAGCTTATAGCTTCAAAATATTAACATTTTCAATAAAATTGCAGAGTTAACAGTAATCATCAAACCATGTAGCATTCGAAACCGGAAATAACAAAACCCCAATACAGAATCGGTGGAAATGATTAACATGTTATTGTTTCTCACATTGCTTGTAGTCGTGGGTTGAAAGCATGGAGGTTTTTGTCCAAGCTGCTTTTCGGTTTTCATACCCTGCAATCAAACAAACGGTCAAATACTCAGATTACAACCAAAACCCAAATCATATCTGAGAGAAACAAATAGAGACAGTGGACCTTATGCGGCGGAGGCTGTAGCAGTGGGTAAGAGGAGCTCTGTTTCTGGTCTTGAAGAATAACCATTGCTTCCTCCATGGGCTCTCTTTCTCTCTCTCTCTCTCTCTACTATTGGCGTAGATGTTGAAAGACAGATGTGTACAGAGAAAGGGGAAAAAAAAAGGACCGTTTAATTTCAAAACAATCTTGCTTCAAAATATGGAGCCAATTTTAAAATATAATAGGAAATGTTTGGGAGACATATCCGTACTGCATATTTTGACTTACCAAAAAGGAAATAACCATTCAACCTTTTTAATTTTTTTTTTTTTATACAAGCGATTTTGAGTGGAGGATTAAAAATTAGGAAAATTAATGAAAGGGGTTTGAAAATTTTGAGTTTTAACGACAATGACAAAATAAATGGTAAAATGAATAGTACTTTTTAGTGTAAAAATGTGGTTTTTCGTTAAAGTGAACAGTACCAGGAAACTTTTCGTTAAAGTTCCCTTAAAAATCACGTCGGTGTTTTAAACCAATCACGTGATGGCAAGATGCAGTTGTCCTGACGGGATTTCAAATTTTATTATGTTTTTTTTTTTTTTAATTTACATGCAAGTAGAACGCTGAAGCGAGATGTTTTAAATCAATCTTGTAATTCTGCGTGGGAAAATAGTTTATTTGAAACAGAACAGAGTACGTGTTCTTGCTTGCAATGCAATTTGTGTTCATAACATAAGGTACACCAACTGAATTACATAATTAGATATCTTAACTAGGGAAGGTTTTGTCAATATCCAAAATATAGGATTTACACCATTTTTAGAGAAATTGCCAAATCTTGCTTGCAATGCAATTTGTATTCAAGTATCTGACATGCTATACATTTCATGCTCCAAAGTTTAACACGTCTAAGTTTACTTCTTATACACATTTTTAAAATATTTAATAGTTATTTTCTCTTACTCGCCTCTAAGATAAAGACAAAGAAATAGAAGAGTTAACAAATATTGAAAAATTGAAAGAATGTGTGGGAGGAAAAATAAGAGCATCCAAGAGAGTTCAAGTGTTGCTTTTTGCTAAATTTGACGTGCTACGTAAGATTTATTTGCTCCAAGAGAGTTACATTTGTGGAAGGTGTGTGAAACCCTTTTCCTATCTACATTGCTTATATGTAAAAGGGAATAAAAATGGTTCAATATATTTTTTTTATTGAATAAGATGTTGTATTAAATACAATAAGATAGTACATAGGATAACAGAAAATATATCAAAAAATCATATGCTACAACTCAAATCAACAAATCAAAGTGGAGGAAATCAAGCGGTTGTCAAATGCAAGCTAAGGCTCGTCTGATAACTTTTTCATTTGGTTTTTATTTTTTTGTGCTTTAAATACTGAGAAAGTACACACTAAAATTTATAAGACATGTATATTGAATGACAGACATAATGAAAATTGAAAACCAAAATTTAGGACAAGTTTTAACTCTCTCATAAACCCATCCCTCTTCTCATTAGCGTAGATAATATCGATTATTCAAAAAAAAAAAAAAAAACTCTCTCATATATTTGCTCTATCTCAACAATAAAAATTGAATATCAACACTCACAAAAAGGTTTTTGAACGGACCCTTAATTATTAAGTATTTCAGATTATTTAACTTACGAATACACGATATTTACACTAAGAGGGACGGGAAATGAACCACCAAAGTGCGCTTTTGGATGAGAACTCAGGAGGAGACACTCGACGAACCGAGCAGCAATAGTAGATGGTTGAAGATCCACGATGAAGAGTGATATTTGGAAAGGAACAAGGCATAGAAAGCAAGTTTGAGACAAACTCAAGGAAAATTGAGACCAAGCTCAGGGCAACCTAAGACACAAAATGCTCAGAACGAAAAATAACCGAATTCTAAGTGCATAAAAAGAAAATTCAAATCACCAACCATGGTGGTTTGGAGAAATAGGGAGAAATGGAGGGATATGGAGGAACAAATGGGAAGAGGGAGAAGGACGGGGAGGGGTGGGCACTAGGCTACCGCCAACCCCAAGCCGGAGCTAGGGGTCGATGGCATGGAGGCTTTTAGAAATTTGGGATTTTTTTAGAGAGGGCACGGTTTTTCCATTTGGTTTTTATTTTTATTTTTTTTCATTTTTTGTGCTTTAGATAGTGAGAAAGTACACACAAAATTTATAGGACATGTACATTGAATGATAGTCATAATGAAAATTGAAAACCAAAATAGAGGATAAGTTTAAGGGCTGGTTTGGGACTGTGGTGTTTTTTTTTAAAAAAAAGTAGCTTATTAAAAATTTGGAACATCAAATGTGTTTGGTAAAACAAAAAAATGTCTTTTTTTTTTTTTTAAACTGATGCCAATAGCAGCAGAAAAACATAGAAAAACAGAAGCATGGTCTATCATGCTTCTAAACAAAGTGTTTCTTTTTTCAAAGCATAGTAGTCAGTGCCCGTTTAATGAAATTTTCAAATGGCAAGATTATTCTCTTTGACAATTATTATATCACATTAAATACCATATATATTTTTAGTTATTTAACATATTCACAACAATTTACATAAAAGTTTACCAAACGCTCAGACACTTTATTTTTTATTAAAATCACTTTTACAAAAAAAAAAAAAAAAAAAAAAAAGTTTACCAAACACTCAATAACTTTATTTTACTGTTTATTCTTACATAACAGCAAAATCAATTTTTCTAAAAGCACAGCAATATCAAACTAAGAGGATGGGTAAATAAATGGTTAAGTGAAAACCAACACTCAAAACGAAAGGGTTATTAAACGGACCCTTAATTATTAAGTATTTAAGATTATTTAACTTGCAAATACATGATATTTATACTAAGAAGGAGGAGAAATAAATTGGTTGCAAATTCGCTATTTTCGAGATTTGAACATAAGACATACTATTTACAAGTGAAGAAAAATAACACTAGACTATAATACTAAGTAGTTATCAAACAAGGCTTTCCATAGTGGTTTATTTGAGTTTGATGTTTATATATATAAGAAATAAATACCATGAGGGGTGGATTTGCCAAATAACCATACCAACCGAATTACCAACTATACCATACCAAAGTTGTGCCAAAAATTTTGTACCATTGGTAATAGTACAGTATTTTGCCGTACCACACATTTTCGGTACGATAATGGTATTCAAAATCATTACCAATAGTATATTGTACTGTACCACTACTATTATATTATATCATTTATTTATTCATTTTTATATATATATATATATAATTAGGTATTATTATCATTATATATGCACTTTACATATTTTTCCTAGTCATTGATCCAAAACCATCCTCTCACCCTCTAACCTCTACTTTCCCAATAAAAAAAACCCAAGTCTTCTTGCCGTTGCGACTTCATCTTTTCAGTCATCTTGCCATAGACTTCATCTCCATGGCTTCCGTTCCGGCCACTCTCTCTCTCTCTCCGCAGTGCATCTCACCTTCTCCTTCATCAAATTGGGTTGTCTTTCTACTTGGCTTTGTCTATCAAGTTAATTTTTATACAATTTTAAAGAATGTAGAGATGGAATCTAGGAATCTTTGTACTAGTTTTTTTAGGGATGCTGGGTTCTTTCAGCAATTTTCCCATCAATTTACTTCTTTTTCTTAAATGAATCTCTATGAAATTCTCGTAATTAAATTAAAATTTTTTAGAAACCCAAAGAGAGTGACCAAAACATGTTTGGACCTTGAATTGGGTTGGAAAAAAAATCAAATTTTGGCCCAAAAGAGTGGCCCAAAACAGAGTAATAATTACCATTACCATACTATGCCAACCAAACTATTTGGCAAAGTAATAATATTAGATTTTGCCATATAAAAAATTTGGTATGATAATTGATACATGAGTTTTGGTACGGTAATCGTACCAATACCACTCCTAAATACCATGAGTGTTTAACAGGGATTACACTCCTTTTTTATTTTTTTAATATTTTTACATTTTTTTTTCTCGAACAATCGATATTAGAATTACAGTCTAAAAGTCTCCCTATTTAATAGAACTACTCTCTTAAAATCTTTATAAATATCCTAAACTGGATATTTATCTGGAACTCTCTCTGATCATATCCTTAATCTCATATTTCTTTACGATCATCACATATATGTGTAACATAGGCTCATCTCTCTCACATACGATGTTGTCTAAGCATCTCTCCTACACGCCTAAGCCAACACATATTCATCAATGATTTATTCCGATATAGCACACGTCATACGTATTCTTTTCTTAGAATTACACCAGTGATTTGATTCTTTTTTTCGAAGATAGGTAGACAATCAGATCATGGATTCAATCACACCCCCAATCAACTTCATTCTCCTCCAAGTTCATGGGCAATTCCGACTAAATATCGCCTCCATCAAAGGATTGCGTGAATTTGGTTACAACAATTGTGAAAAATTGAAAATAACTTTAAACACAACTTATTTAAAACACATAACAAAATTAATGTGAGGTGACAAATTAATAAGGTAAAACTGAAAGTGTCCAAATTCTCACTTTAGGTACAAGATGAGAATGAAAAAGAAAAACTTGATGTGTGAAAATTTAAAAATCATAAAATTTTAAGGTAATAAACTGAGAATACTTTTGAATAAATGTTGTCGTGTTGAAAAATTAAGATTTAAACCCGTGGTAATCTAAAACCCTTGCTCTGTCTTGACTCTTGAGCTGCGTTGAGTTGGCAACTGTTGTCCTCCACCCCGAATTGCAAATCTTAAAAGAATTTGGTTTTATTGGTGCATATCATCTCCCCGGACCCCACCCGAAGACGATTTCGTCCTCCCTCCCCGATCGAACCTACTCCGTCCCTTCTCGCAGTGATCTGCTTTTCTCCTTGATTTATTGTCAACAGTTTGGCAATTAGAATTTCAACTTTTGTAAGCTAAAGTGATCCAGTACGTACATTTTCTTCCTTTTTTTCTTCTCAGATTTGATAATTAATTCTTGTTTATATTATATTGTTTCATAATTAATCATCATGCTATTGCTACTGTTAAAAACCAATTAAACCCATCAATTCAAATCTCAATGTTGGGAGGGAGGGCATTAGGAAAAAGTCAAGCTTGTCCATACCCTACTGGTACAGGGAACCCAAAAAAAAAAAAAAAAAAAAAA